AAAAGACGTGAACAAGCATGTCACAAAAAAATCCATATTGTCCAAGGAGTATGTTAAATGATGCTCAACTTAATTAGTTATTTGGAAAAAGCAAATTAAACAATGCAACACCAGTACATACCTGCCAGAATGGATAAGATGAAAAAGACAGAAAGTGCCAGATATTGACAAGGCTGACTTGCAAACTGCAGATAGGAGTCTAAATTGGTACAATGACTTTGGAAGACCATTTAGCAGTATCTGTTAAAGCTAAATATATGAATGCTCTATGATTCTACAGTTCTAACCCTAAGTGTGAAACCAGAAAAGTGTACATATGCATGTAGATATACATGCGCAAGCCTCATGTTCTTATGTTCTTAGCAGCACTTCTTTTTTTTTTTTTTTTTTGAGACAAGGTCTTGCTCTGTTGCCCAGAGTGGAGTGTGCAGTGGTGATCATAGCTCACTGCAGCCTCAAACCCCTGGGCTCAAGCGATCCTTCCACCTCAGCCTCCTGAGTAGCTAGGACTACAAGGGTACACCACCACGCCTGGTTGGTTTTTCAATTTTTTGTAGAGATGAGGTCTCATTATGTTGCCCAGGCTGGTCTCGAACTCCTGGCATCAAATGATCCTCCTGTCTTGGCCTCCCAAAGTGCTGGGATTACTGGCATTAGCCACCATGCCTGGCCTAGCAGCACTATTTTTGATGGTCAAAAACTGGAAACAGGCCGGGCGTGATGGTTCACACCTGTGATTCCAGCACGTTGGGAGTCCGAGGCAGGCAGATCACTTGAGCCCAAGAGTTCAAGACCAGACTGGGCAACATGATGAAACTCCCATCTCTGTTAAAAATGCAGAAAATTAGCCAGCATGGTGGTGCATGCCTGTAGTCCCAGCTACCCATGAGGCTGAGGTGGGAGGATCACCTGAGCCTGGGAGGCTGAGGCTACAGTGAACAGAGATGGTACCACAGCACTCCACCTGGGGCACCAGAACGAGACCCTGTCTCAAAACAAAACAAAACAAAACAAAACAAAACTGCAAACAGCTCAAGTGTCCATCTTCTGTAGACAAGTAAATTTTGCTGTGTTTATACAATAGAATATTATCCAGCAATGCAAATGAACAAACTATAACTACACACAGCTGCATGGACAAATGTCAGAAACATGACGTTGAGTGTGAGAAGCCAGATGCAAACGAGGACTCACTGTGCAATTCCGTGCATGTACAGTGGCCAGGTGAGGCTTATGGAGTGCTGAAATGCTCTGTATCCCGATCTGGAGGGTGGTTTTAAAAAAATGTTTTGAGCCAGCGCATTGGTTCACACCTGTAATTCCAGCACTTTGGGAGGCCAAGGTGGGCAGATCACTTGAGGTCAGGGGTTTGAGACCAGCCTGGACAAACATGGTGAAATCCCATCTCTACTAAAAATACAAAAATTAGCCGGGGGTGGTGGCGCACACCTGTAATCCCAGCTACTTGGGAGGCTGAGGCACAGAGCAAGGCTCTGTCTCAAAAAAAAAATCACAAATAAAAAATAAAATTTTTTTAAAAATTTGATTTTAATGTTTTTAGAGACGGGGGTCTGTGTCACTCAGGCTGGTCATGAACTCTTGGGCTCAAGCAGTCCTCTCACCTTGGCCTCACAAAGTGCTGGGATTTCAGATGTAAACTACCACGCCTGGCCCTGGAGGGTGGTTATACTTGTGTAGTAAAAACTCATGAAACCTTACACTTATGATTTGTAGTAGACTTTTCTGTATTAATGTTATATATATGTGTATTCTTTTTTTTTTTGTAGAGACGGATCCTGCTAAGTTGCCCAGGCTGGTCTTGAACTCCTGTGCTCAAGCAATCCTCCTGCCCTGGCCTCCCAAAGTGCTGGGATTACAGGTGTGAGCCACCGAGCCCAGCCTAAATAAAAAGTTTGCTTCTCTCCTCCTTTCCTCCCCAAAAACCAGGGTGTTATCAGTAAATCTACTTAACTAGGCCTAGGTGAATTGCGATAGGCTGCACTATGCTGAAAGCAAATGTACAGGTTGGGGGGGTGTCGTTGTCAGCTCTGCCATGTTGTGGACCTGCCCCCTTTTCAGGACACCTCACCTTACCTTCCATA